TCAATGCAAGATGAGCCAAAAGTTGGTGCCACTGAACCCTAAAATGCAACAACGTCAATCCCAACGTCCGGATTCTGTATTCGAATTTTCGAAAGGGGCACACGCGGGTAGGGCGAAACGCGTTCGAGTCGTTTTATGGAAGCCATGGAAGCGTTAGATAACGGGTTCCCGACCGGGCCGTACCGTAAAGTACGGCCCGGTCTGGAACCCGTTATCGAACGTTGTCGCCGCCCGGGTATGATATAAATATATATATAAAATGTTATGTAAAAGTAATGCAGAAAGGTTGTAACTCCCCCCCCCCCCGCCATATCCCCATCTTGTTCTGCCCATTGCTGAAGAAAAAAGACTCAACAACAATACACTCTATTTGTTAAATGTAATCACCATTTTTATTGATTCATGCAAATGTATGTCTTTGGGCGTAGTCTATGCCCAAGGAAAAAGAATTGCCCACCCACCTCCCTACTCAAAGATCTACTAATCTCAATACAATTACAGGAGATTAGAACATGGTAGTCACCCAACCACAAACGCACATGTTCCTTCTTGGAGAGACTGTTTACTATGGCCTCACACCAGCGGGGTCAGAGGTATTTTATCTCCTTTGAAACCCGAGAATGTCAGACCTTTACAAAGACCCAGGCTGCTCATTGTAATGTATGCTGCGGTAATGTTGCCAAATTAGGGTGGACTGCTAGACTTTATGTTTTGAAGGGGTGGACAAACCATCAAGATTGAGAGCTCATATTGTTCTAACTGGTCTGACGTACCCTTATCTCCAAGACATTTAGTTCTTTGTCATGCACTGTTATTATGACAACCAGGTTACGTGTCGAAAATGTGCCACTTTGGCATGGGACTCGTGGGAGGAATATTTACATAACCTTGGTCCCCCTTCTGTAGTTGGTCCAGTCCTAGCCCTTTTGTATTTTAGAAAGAGGGCAGGGGAATCCAACCATTCGGAACTGTACAAATAAAAGCTTGTTTTCTGTAGGGATCTTCAATCTTAGGGACAGTCTTGGGAGAAAGTGAGAAGTGTTCATGACATCTGTCCTCTCCTTGGGTTCTTTAGGCAGGACTGAATTTTGAACAGGGAACCCTGTAACCCCCCGGCTTGGACAATTTGGTAGGTCCAATCATTGCTGGATGCACCAGCATTCAGTACACTACAAAATCTCCACCTCAGAGTCGGACGTTTGGGTTGTCTCCACATTAAGGACTTGTAACCAGGAATATGGACAAAGCTATGGAAGAAGATTGGGATTACTATGCAGTTTGTGACTCAGACGTTAACCCGGAGGTCGTCACCGCGCTGTACGAGGAAACGGTCGGCCGATACAGAGGTAGAATTGCCCCATGATTTGTCTATAGCAGTCAGGCTGTGTAGTGTAACGTCCATGGCATGGAGCCGGAGGTTGCCTGCTCCATGTGGCATTTGTTATATCAGCTGGATTAGTAGACATGGACTAACACACACCCTTCTACTGTCAGTGCCTCATATCCGGATACCTGAGAATTTTCCTGTGTACTTTGTTGACATGGATAATCCAGTTTAATTAATCTCCAAGGCGGGTCTGTTATGGTTTAGGGCAGGGACCTCGATTCACTGTCATGTTTTACACCACGGGGAAGAAATATTCTCCCTCCAATAATCACTCCCAATGTGCCTCTGTTATCATTGTTTATACACCAGCAATTTTGTCCTTAAGATGGGGTAATTATCAACACGTCCCTTCCTAACGACCTAAGCGACCTACAACACCCCACAGTGAACCATTATCACACCAGAGCTGGCTATTCAAGAGGTGCCTGAACCAAAATCTGCCCAGATTGATTCTGATTATCTCACATTGGTGGCATGTCGGTGGGCAGTTGTTGGAGATATCCTGTTTATTTTAAGAATCAGTGGCTGCATGAGAGGAGTGCAGACACTAACACAAACCAAGGGTTTCCTACTTGTTCTTTTACACACATTAGGTGACGTGTGATGTCATTTATGTGTTGGGGTCACCCTGTCCTTTTAGACAAACCTGCGTGACAAGACACTGGTTAGGAGAGTTAGAGGGGAGGGTTGTATTTCAATATGGCAGCCTCCTTTCCTAACATCACCCTACTGTTAGCCTGTCCGGCCACCTAGTGAGTAAGGTGGCCTATCTGATTGAGGAGGGATGGGAAAATGGGTCACATTGTGAAGGGAAAGGGAGGTAGATGTGATGCCATGAGGGATGAGAATAAGAAGACCTTTGTATGGTAGTAATTATCTGACTCATGAGGGGAAATCTATGGGATCTGTCACTCCACGCCTCACTGTACAGTCATGCTCACTCACTGAGGCCGTTTTGGTGTTTGGTATGAAAGTACTTATATGCAATATTCGTGGGCATGGAGCATGGAGCACATAACAATGACATATGCATACTTAACATTCATAACATTGTGCCATGATATTACAACTCCATTATTGTTGTGCTCACAATTATATTTTGATTCATACGAACCATAGATATTACGTTGTGACTGATTCATGCATTTAGAAATGTATGATCAAACGTACACACTCATTTTATAATCATTCATCTGCAAAGGGAAACATAAAATCTACCATAGAATAGAACAGCCACTGACACTGCCACCCTTTGAAAGGCCGGCAGTGCTTGGTTGGGAGCCAGTGTTCCCACTGTCAGCCTGGCCTGATATATATTGATGTTATGTGATTTGCATCTTTACTGCCCGTGTCTGGCCGAGCCAAAATAAAAAGCAGACTATTCGGGGAGACGTCCTGATATAGAGCAACCCATCTACCTTTGATTCAGCAGTTACTACCAGCCACATAGAAAGAACTGTTGAAAGAGGAGATAGCAGAGAAATTTTTGATGTCCAGAATTGGGCATTTTCCTTGATGTGCTATGTTATAAGTAAATCTTTGCAGCACCATGGGTCATATGGAATACATTATTGCTATGTTAAAGGGGGAATTGGCTATTTTAGGTCAGCCATGTCCCTACATATGAAGAACATAAATCAGAAAGGACTTGTAAAATTGCCTGCACACTTAGTAGTCTATCAAATTGATCTGTGTACCAACTATTGAGTCCTGTTTGGTTATACCTTTACCAGGATATGTAAATATGTAAATATCACAAGCACTAGCTCTTGTGTATAGCTGAAAATGGTAGTTGTAATGTGTAATAACATTACGTAGTCTTTTTGGAAGGTCATCCTATAATAGTATAAAGAGAAGTGCTGGTTGGAAGTGGATTGTCAGGAAGATATTGTTATTGATGTGGGTTTGGTGCTAGAGGTCAATTTTATGGAGGCACGCCCGTCTAAAGGGTGTTGGAATAACGTCAGTGCGGGGGACAGGAAAGGGGTTTGGGCGTCAACTTGGGCGTGATACGTGGTTACCAAACAATTTTAGAAAAAACGGTTTTGGCGATGGAGGACGATGAGGAAAGGAGCATAGAGTATCCGTGTATTACCGTATTCATCATAGCACTGCTACTGTCTATTGCTGGGAAGATCTTGACCAATATCATCCAGGGCCGGCTTATCCCTACAGTTGCTGATGAGACCCCACCTGAAAGGGCTAACGGAGGTACAACTGACATGACTTAAGTTCTAAGGTAGATTTAGGTAAAGCACGTGGAGCAAAAACGATACTCTCTAGTAGAATGGAGGTTAGGCCCGTTTTCTGACTTTTTGGAAGCTTTTTTTGAACGTTTTGTCTGGCTTTCTATTCTGTTGGCAATTTATGGATATTCTGGGTAACAAAAGCTCTAAAAAAGTCAGAAAACAGGCATAATCTCTGCTTGGAGAGTACATAATGGGACAATATGCTGCCTTTATAGATCTTAGGAAGGCCTTTGTCACTGTCAGTTGGGAAGGGCTAAGAAGGATTCTAATAGGACTAGACTACCCAGCAAAACTCCTTTTCATATTCAGGGGCAATGATGAGATGGATATGACATAGGAAGTACAGTATACCAGCCCCAGGGGTGTCATAGAGTGATAGAAAAGCAAAATGTTGGCAATTGTACAGATACATATAGTTTAGCATATCATGACTGTAGCAAGAGTAAGCATTTTATTTGGGCTGGCAAATGTTGTCCCGTTTCTTGCCATAATCTTGTGCCAGTTGGTCTTGCATCGTTTGAAATTAAATTACTGTAATACCAGGTGTGCCTCTAGAGATCATCAAATTTCCCCTGTGTGAAAAGAATGAAGTAATCAGCAAAAAAATCTGTATATTGTGTATGAAGATTTGTTTGAATTCACACCTTTAGACTAGCTACTTGTCCGCCTTCTTGATATACAGCAAGAGAGATGTTCCCCTCCGCATGGTTCACCTGGGTAACCTGGCGTGACAAGAATGTTACTCTGTCCTAATCGTGTTTGGGAGCTGTTTAGCTGGCAGAGGCACAGTGGACATGATCTTTGCAGCCAGACAACTCCAAGAGAAATGTCAAGAACAACACAAGGATCTATACACCACCTTCATCGACCTAACTAAGGCCTTTGACTTGGTGAGTAGAGAGGGGCTATGGAAGATCATGGCCAAGTTCGGCTGCCCAGAACGCTTCACCTCCATGATACGACAGTTCCATGAAGGTATGACAGCCCGTGTCCAAGACGATGGAGAAACCTCCACAGCCTTTCCAGTGACCAATGGAGTGAAGCAAGGGTGTGTCTTGGCACCAACCCTATTCAGTATTGTCTTCACAGCCATGCTGACTGATGCCTTTCACGGCACCAAGGAGGGAATAGACATCAAATACAGAACAGACGGGAAGTTACTAAACCAACGTCGCCTGCTTGCGCTAACGAAGGTGAAGCACACAGTCCTGAAAGACTTCCTCTTCGCCGATGACTGTGCCCTTAATGCCACAAGCGGACAGGATATGCAAGTATCAACCGACAGGTTCTCTGGGGCTTGTGACAACTTTGGTCTCATCATCAGCACCAAAAAGACGGAAGTCTTGTACCAACCACGCCCCGGCAAACCTTACAAGGAACCTTGTGTCACAGTACATGGCCAAGTCCTAAACCCTGTGGACAAGTTCACCTACTTGGGCAGTACCATGTCACGGCAGGCAAACATAGATGAGGAAGTGAACGGCAGAATCTCTAAGGCCAGCAGTGCTTTTGGGAGACTTCGACACAATGTCTGGGACCGAAGGGGAATCAAGCTCAGCACAAAACTTAAAGTGTATCAGGCAGTAGTCATTACTACTCTTCTCTATGCCTGTGAGACTTGGACAGTTTACAGAAGACATGCAAAACAACTAAATCACTTCCACACAACATGCCTTCGTAGACTCCTTAAAATTCATTGGCAAGACCACACCCCAGATACGGAGGTACTTTCCCGTGCCAACATGCCCAGCATTCACACCCTCATAGAGAAAGCCCAAGCAAGGTGGGCAGGACACGTCCGACGGATGAACGACAGCCGCATACCCAAAATGCTGCTGTATGGGGAACTGGCTGAAGGCAAAAGGCTAGCGGGCCGCCCCAAGCTCCGCTTCAAGGACAGCCTCAAGGCAACTCTGAAGAGCCTCAGCATTCCTGTCGAAAACTGGGAGGACGCTGCCACTGACCGTCACCAGTGGCGCAGACTAGTCCACCAGGGCGCCGAGCTTGCTGAGCGTCGTCGCATCAGCCTGGCTGTCAGTAAGCGGGAGGCACGAAAGGCGAGGGAGAAAAACCCGTCTCTGCAACCACTACCTGAGCACAAGTGTGACGTCTGCGGCAGGTGCTTCCGGGCTAGAATTGGGCTCGTCAGCCACACCCGGACACACAAGGACTGAAGTTGGGGTCATCATCGACTGCGATGGACGAACATCATTTATGTTGTATATTCATCCATTTTTCCCGTTACAGACAGGCACCTTGCCACGCTGGGCGAGAGCCTTGTTCCTGCGGCACTTGGCCAGGTTACTGCTCCTGGGTGACCTGAGCAACAGCACACATGATGACGTGGAGCCAGAAAGCGTCTCCGTTGACTCCGCAGACAAATCCAAACAGCACAACAAAATGTTAAAGGAAGTGGTCTACTATTTCCACGATAAACCAGCAGAAAGTGAGAAGCTACAACTTCTTCACGCCATCAAGCAGCTTCTGACTGAACTGCAGGCGAGTGTGAAGTCGCTACGTGAGAAGGAAGAAGAAGACTCCGATAAAAAAGAGCCAGAGGCGGATTATTACAATCTGGCTCATGTTGTAGACAGGATCTGCTTTGTGACGTACATTGTTGGTCTCGTTATTATCATTCCTCTTACCTTTGTTTTCGCACCTTAGGCCACACCGTCTTAATTTTATGGATGACATCCTCTGAAGACCCTCAAACTAGTGCGCGCGGGCGAATAAAAAAAAATCCCGGCCAAAAAAAAAATGCTACTAAACCACAGGATTACAAAGCTGGTATTGTGAATTTGCGACAATACGCCATATATATGTATACAACAAGTAGGAACATGCTGGCTTTTTGCAGAATTTATAAATCGGCACTGTACGTAGCTTCGGTAGCCTGGGTGCCCGGCTCCGTATTGTCGCTGACTACCATGGAACCCAAACCTAGAGCCAGGTCAGAGCCTCGGTGGACGTGATCTTTTTATTTTTTTTTTAAACAGGCGAAAATCAATGCGCGCGCGCGGATGCCATCCATAAAATTAAGTCTGGTAAAAATGTGTGGCCTTAGAGGATTCCATGCTGAGCATAGGCCGAGATGACAACATGCCTAGAAGCTGGTTGGGGGGGGGGGTTATGCTTACAAGCTAGGCAATGATAGTGCTGACGCTTTGTCTAGTTACCGTATTGCACTAACACGCAATTAATATCAATAAGAGGAAATAGCTTTAGTACGTGTATTGTTCAAAGTAAAACCTTTTGATCAACACAATATAGTTCTCCCACCTAGAGCTGTCGACCAGTCACACTGGTCTTCCTCGGTAGACTGACCGAGTGAGACTTGTCGAGGCTATCACTCTGTACTTAACCGCGACGGGGCCGACATCGTCCACCAGATACCTTTGACCCAGTGTTGACGTCACACTTCAGAGAAGCCACGTGAGAAGCCTCAGTGGGCATACCCCATACATGATCTTACCATGCTTGTGTATATGGATGCTATTTGAGTAGGTTTTAGGCGTTAATCTTAATTACTTTCCATTTGTTATACCATGACTCAATTAACATTGCGGCACAGCTATATGTCAATTATCTTACGTGTGCACAAAGTGCCGCGATCTTGTACAGATTGTTTTAAATATCCAGCAGCTGATTAAGTCTACACAATCCCCGCCGGGGAACAAAAATGGCGGTCTTCTGACCCCAAAAATCACGTGCAAGATCCAGCAAGAAGCCTGTTGCATTCCAAAACGTGGTCCATTCCAAATCATGATTTGGAATAGAATGCACCTGCATTCCAAAACGTGGTCCATTCCAAAACATGATTTGGAATAACACGAAGTGGAATGCCTGTTGCATTCCAAAACGTGATGCATTCCAAAGCATGACTTTTCGTAATCACGTGTCTGGGGGCGGAGCCTCGTACTTAGGGGGCGGAGCTTCGAACTTCTGAGGGCGTGGCTAAATGATACGTGTCTGGGCATGTTTTGTAACGCTTGGCGTTCCATTATAGCTACAGGCTGTCAGACGTGTAAACTTTAATGATGAAATGGGAGTCTCAAAATGTCACACGCGCGTTTTAGAATACCTGTGTCAACTATCTAAATCATGATTAACGTCAAATATTTCCCAAAGTTTCAAATTGGTAGCTTTTGCCCATGCTGTCGGCCTCTATATTTTGACCTTCTAAACCTCCTCGGTGTTAGTCACGGCATGCCCGTCGGACACCGCACACAACTATGCTTCGGCCGTGTACTGGCGGTAACCGAAGCATGGCTCACACGCAACTGTGGCGGCCATCCCTTTCACAATCTAAAAATTCATCAACAAATGTTCAAACTCAACAACTCCACACAAACTGTTGTTGTCGAAGCCCTTTCCCAAGCCCACATGTCTGAAGCACGTTTTGGAATATTCCATTTCGTGTCTGAAACATGTTTCGGAATATTCCATAACGTGCCTAGAGAAAGGACATGAAATGGAATATTCCAAAACATGTCTGGAGCACGTTTCGGAATATTCCATATCGTGGCTAGATATCCCATATGGGCCGTGGAGACCACATTCTTAACAAAATTAGGCTTATTTGCGTAATTCAATGACACAAAGTAATGCTAAATATTTACAAACTTCACTTAAATATCAAAAGTTTTAACTAGAAATGAAAGCTCCTTGCTATAAATTACGTTCTCTCTTCTATGTATAAACAACTATCACGTGATTCTATTAGCGGGAAAATAATGAGAAACGGATGCGCGAGCGTCCGACCATTTAGGACCGCACACTGATGAAGATAAACTCAGACCAGAAGCAGACTATGAAACATCATACCAAGAACATTATCGTACTGTTCATTGACGTCATTTTCCCCATACAGCTCGAACGTACTAATACCTTTGGCACGCTAAGTTCGACGACATGTTCAGACAAGTAAACACGACGTGATTTAACACAGTATCTGTATACAGGCAGCCAACGGACCAAATATGGAAACTTCGGAATGAATAATTAATCACCACTCCTGTCAATCATTTGTGATTGACAGCATGGCCGGTCACGTTTTAGAACATTCCAAATCGTGATCCAGCTGCGCCATATGATTTGGAATACAACATGTGGAATGCCTGTTGCATTCCAAAACGTGGTCCATTCCAAATCATGATTTGGAATAACACGTTTTGGAATGCAACAAAGCCCCTACCCCAAGTGCACGTTCTGGATAAACAACCTTGCTTAAACAGTATGTGTTCTACATATAGGATATCCTGGATATGCAGGACGTCCTTCAGAGCGTATCCTGGACAAGGAGCGCATCTTCAAAGCAACATCACGATCGAAAGGTCCAGCCATGAAAGCCGCAGGGGGTACCTTGGGACAAAAAATAGCCCGTAAATATCCAGCGGGGCCCTTTTTCCACTTGTGACCTATTGGTAATCTCCAAGCAGATCCCTATCGGTGGCAAAAGACAGTATCCATTAGCCATAGGAGTTTAGCTCGCCACCGACGGGCCGTTTTAAATGCATACTTTTTTCAAGGGCTTCGGCCCGTCGGTGGCGAGCTAAACTCCTATGGCTAATGGATACTGTCTTTTGCCACCGATAGGGATCTGCTTGGAGATTAACCTATTGGTATCAAGCATGTTTGCTTGCTCAGGTTAAGCGAAGCTCTTAATTTGTGTATCCCTACTACTTTGTACATTGTTCTGTTATTCCGATTTCTTTGGACTTAGTATGCTATATAAACTCGGGCTACAATTTTGAAGATAATATTGTTAAGACACATTATATTTGCGAAATGTTTTGTCATGTCTTATCAGCAGGGCAAGCCACAGGTTACTTGGAACAGCCAAACTAATAAAATATACAAATATTCGGATTAGTTTGGTCTGATTCAGTAAAGTCATATTTGATTTATCTTACGTCACTTAAAGAAATATACTTTACGAATTCAATTTTTTATGTTTTCTCGATCTAATTTTATGTAGATTTTCTGTTGCGATGTAATTGACGTTATTGTGCTTTAGTTTACTATTTATTTCTTTGTTTACCTTAGATAGTCACCTCCTTTTTTTAGTGACTTCACACGGATGTGAACAAATAAAAACAGACAAAAACATTCCCTTCACCATTTTTTTAATTTTTTGGGGGGTGGGGGTAAAACATTTTATCATATCCAGATGTTTCTAAAAGAGATAAATGTTGCATAATGCTTTGTTAACAATAGAATATGACCTACATTACCGGAGCTGAACCCAAACTACACACTTACATCTAAGTATACAAGACGCGCAAGTGTTGATATAATTATTAGTAAATATAGTAAGGCCACAGCAAGTAAATTTTATGGATGACATCACACGCGCATTAACTTTCGCCTGATTTTGGAAAAAAAAAATCAGGAAATCTTGCTGCCGTCTGACAGTGGACAACATGCCGAAAATGGGCAAAGATGTATGTTGCCATGCTGAAACGTGAATGGCAGATAACTATGAAGAGAGGAGAGTTGGCTGTGTATATGTATATGTGATGTTCCCACTGAATCGAAACCATTTGTAAAATGATGGAGTCAAAATTTGAAAATGTAGGAACCTTGTTTTTTTGGACCCGCCTTGTTTTTTTTTTCGCCCGCTCGCATTAGATTTGGAGTCTGCGGAGGATGTCATCCATAAAATTTATTGGCTGTGGCCTAAGGAACATACAACTATGTTACGTTGCATGCACATATGTGCACGTTTACCATAGAGGCAGACAACGCACCAATATATAATAAAGCTGTACATAAGCTGAAACCTCTTGGTGTACTTTCTCAGGTAGCTGTAACCTCGCTAAGGCCATTTTCAAGAAGCTGGTAGCTCAATGATGCACTCTCTCAGGACCTCGATGATGTTCTCTTTCAGGTAATCTTACTGATAATCTCGACAAGCTTTAACCTCGATCGCTGATGACCTCTGTCAGGAAGCTACAGTCTCGCTACTGTCCTCTCTTGAGCAGTTACGTTATTTGATGTACCCTGCTGTGCAAATGTTATGTTGTCTTCTGTTCTGGAAATAAAAGGAGAAATAAATGAGCATTCTTGTATATGAAAATCGGCCATGTGTCTTCTTTTACTTAGAATACAAGATACAGCCGTACTGTCCAAACGTCTCAATGGTTCTAGAAGACAAGTGCTTGCTTTAGGAAGAACAATTGCCACAGGCCGATGAAGGGGGTGGA